TCATGTGATATAACCAGATGATGCAATATAGAATGTATACCTGTCTTCTATAACTTACTAAGTTACATATATTTTACATATATACTTAGATTTTACAAATTTTCCACATATACATATATATGTTTATATGTATATATTATTGTTTCAGATGACGGGATTGGACATAGAGAAGGACCAGATCATTGAGATGGCCTGTCTCATAACAGACTCTGACCTCAACATTTTGGCTGAAGTAGGTGATGACATTTCCTAAGATCATAGAACATTAGAACTGGAAGGAACTTTAAGAGATCAGCTAGTTCAACATTTTCATTTAATAGATGAGAACAGTGAGACTCAAACTTGTTGGAAGTGTCAGAACTGTTTAGCATGGATTTGAAACCCAGATCACCTAATCCCATTCCTTCATTTTTTTCCATCATATACCATACTTAAAGCCTGCTATAATCCAACTGAATTGTTCCATTTATTTTGGTTACTCATGATAAAGTTCAGATTTTTGCACCCTTACTCCTTTGAATTACTAAGTTTTAGAATTTCACCAGAACCAAAAAAACATTTATATTAAAACTAATAATAATAATTGACATTTACATAGTGCTTTAAGGTTTGCAAAGTGTTTTACATACATTATCTCATGTGATCTTTACAACAGCCTTGTGAAGTAAGTATGACAGGTGTTAGGTATTACAGACCCATTTTACAGATCAAGATCTGAGGCTCAGTAAGATGAAGTGACTTGTCTATAGTCACACAACTAAGTATGTATCTAGGTGGGATTACATTTGATATAATTAGTGTTTTCAAATCTCTCTCTCTTAATTGGAACATTAAAGAAAACAAATAAAACATGGTAACTGCATTTTGGCTACTCATGAAACACTTAATAAGAAGACACTGTGATTCGTAGGTGGTTAAAATTCCCTGACCTTGAATAACTTCATCTGACTTTCATAATGTCAACAGCCTTCATGATCATGAAGAACTCTAGGACAGGAACTAAGTAGGTATGTGCATAAGGGAGAAGTGAGAGTCTTACTATATGAAACAACAAAGAGGTAGGCTTAATTGATATAATTCTGTGGTCTTAAAGCAATAAAATTTTAGAACTGGCATAAGAACTTGGCTCTTCTGATTCTTAGGGCATTGCTTTTCACTAAACTATTTATATTCCAGATTTTCAAATTGAGGTATTTTAAGAGTGGTTACTGGCTTCCCTAGGACAAGGAAAAGGATAGCAGAGGCTTTTCTAGATACATATTACCACCTATTCAGTGAATAGTGTGTATTCTTTCCTGTTTTTAAACTGAAAGAAAGAACCTTGAGAGTTTGAGACATACTTCCATCTATAAAACCTCGACCATAGCTGTCCTTGCATTTGACATAAAAATTTGAGTTTTGGTTATTTATCTGTCATTCTAATAATTTCTAAAATGGTAATATCGAATTTTTTAGAAATAGTTAAGGAATAATCACCTTTTTTTCAAGTCTTATTGTATGGATTTATTTACTTTGGCTAAAGAAAAACTTCCTTTGGAATATCATTGTAAATACTGACAGCTTAATTTGACAAAAGAAAATCTTAAATGTTGGAGCTTATGTGGGAAAGCTGGGACACTAATACACTTGGTGGAGTTGTAAACTGATCCAGCCATTCTGGAGAACAATTTGGAACTATGCCGAAAGGGCTATTAAACTGTGCATACCTTTGATCCAGCAATACCACTGCTAGGACTATATCCCAAAGACATCCAAAAAAAGGGAGAAGGACCTATTTGTACAAAAATATTTATAGCAGCTCTTTTTGTGGTGCCTAAGAATTGGAAATCAAAGGGATGTGCATCAATTGGGGAATAGCTAAATAAGCTGTGGTATATGATTGCAAAGGAATGTTATTCCTGGAACCTGAAAAGACATATGTGAACTGATACATAGTGAAGTGAACAGAACCAGGAGAACATCGTACATAGTAACAGTCATATTGTACAATGAGCAACTATGAATGACTTAGCTATTCTCAGCAATACAATGATTCAAGACAATCCCAAAGGACTAATGATGAAGCATGCTGTCCACCTCCAGAGAAAAAACTGATACTGAATACAGACTGAAACATGCTATTTTCCACTTTCTTTCATTTTTGTTCTTTTGAGTCTTTCTGTATAAAATGACTAATATGGAAATGTTTTATATAATTGCACATGTATAACCTATATCTGAGTGCCTACCCTCTCAGGGAGGGGAAAGGAGAGGGAGGGAGGGATAGAATTTGGAACTCAAAACTTAAAAAAAAATTGTTTTTAAAAAATACTGACAGCTTAATAAACCACTTGGTGGTTTTATGTCCAAGAGAAAATGGGAAAATACACACTTATGTATATGTCTCTGTGTGTAGTCAGTTTCAGATGTGTGTGGCATATGTAAATAGAACACAAGTCAAATAGTAAAGTGATAGAAAATGAGTTTGAGTTGTTAGCACTACTATAAATACCAGGTCTATGGACAATGTAATTGCTTATATTTGGTGCTGGCCCAAGAATGAACTACTCAGTTTACTCTTTGTAACTAATCTGATCCACATAACCAGGATAGTTTACCAAAGGAAACAGAATTGGGTATAGGCTTTCATGATTTTATGATTGCTTATTCTCATAATTTTTCACATTCCAGTAAAAAGTAAGCTCTTTGAGGCAGCTAGGTGGTGCAGTAGATGAGATCTGGCCTTGGAGTCAGGAGGACCTGAGTTCAAATCAAGCCTCAGATACATGACACTTAACCAGCTGTGTGACCCTGGGCAAGTCACTTAATCCTGATTGCCTCACCAAAAGACAAAAAAAAAAAAAGAAAGAAAGAAAGTAAGCTCTTTGACTGCAGAGATGGTGTTGAATTTTTTTTTGTTTCTGTGGTGCCTCAGCAAAGTGCCTTGCCTATAGTAGGTGCTTAACAGATAAGAATAGGGACTATTGCTATAATTTCATTGGTATAAGGAACTCCCTTTTTATTAACAGACTTAATTTCTATTTAAGTTGTTAAATTAAGTAAGAACATTGCTTGATTTAATATCTTGGAATCTGATTTTGGAATGGTCATATGAAGTCTCCACTAGAAATATATTTCTTCATATTTGGAGAAGCTGTAAGTACCTTCACAGTTTGCTTGTTTATAACAAAATATCTGGGCATATGATCTGAAAGTCATGTTTTAGGTTACAATTCAAAAAATGTTTTCAAGTTGCGCATAATAGGAAACTTTTCACCATTTATCAATGATACTCTGGATTTAAAGAATACTTTTCTTCTAGAGGGATTAAAGCACTTTCATATTTATACTTTTTTTTTAATCCTGTTAAGGTCCCTGTAAGGAGGATAGAGACATTTTATTATTTTTTCCATTAGACAGGTGGAGAAACCAAAGAACGGAGAGTAAGTGATATGCTTAGGGTCACAAATAGAAGTAGTATTTTGGTTGGAGGTAGGTCTCCAATACACTGTCTCAGCTAGGATGTCTGATAACTATAGTAAGCTAATTAATTAAGCATTTTGTTTAAAGTTTGAGTGAATTCTTCCCAAAAAACAAAATAAAATTGATTAAGTTATTTTTTCAGACTTTTATTTTTTAAATAGTGTATTTTTCAAGTAAAAATTTTTAAAAATTAGTCAGTCTCTCCCATTACCCCCAACTTTGAGTATATTTTTTAAAAAACAAAGTCCTTAATATATAGCTGCATAATTCAGCAAAATAAATGTCTAAAAATATATATCCCTGCTTTCAGCACCTCTCTTCAGAGGTATTTTGTCTTCATTCTTTTGGACTCAATTCTTGCATTGATCAGAGTTCTAAGTCTTTCAAAGTTATTTTTCTCTATAGTATTATTAGTGTATAACTTGTTCTTTTTATTCTGTTCACTTCAACCTGCATCAGTTCCTAAAGGGCTTCTCACTTTTCTCTGAAATTGTATTTTATCATTTCTCATTGAACAGTAATATTCCATTACATTCATATACCACAACTTCTCTAGCCGTTCCCTAATAGGAGGACAGCTTCCTTTTTTCTACTTTTTGCCTATTATGAAAAGAACTGCTATAGATATTTTTACATATAGATTCTTTCCCTCTTTCTTTGTTTTCTTTAGGGTTATTAGTCGAGTAGAGGTATAAGCTGGATCAAAGGATATGGAGTTTGGTTTCTGGGCGTGATTCCAAACTACTCTTCAGTGACCAGACTAGTTCATAACTCCACCAACAGTGCAGTAGGGTACTTTTTTTCTCACAGCCGTCTCACAATTGTTATTTTCCTCTTCTGTCATCTTTAAAGCATTTTTCTATGGTTGTTAATTGCTTGGATGCCTTCCTTTGGAAATTGCCTGTTCATATCTGCAGACCATTTATCTATTGGGAAATGACTCTTGTTCTTATGTTTGAATTAATTGCTTATGTTAAATTGGCATGAGACCTTTATCTGAGAAATTTGTTGTGAAGATTTTTAGGGAAATGTCCCCCCAGTTAATTTTTACAATATTAGATTTGGTTGTACAAAGAATTTTTTAATTTTATGTAGTCAAAATTGTCCATTTTATTTTGTAAAAACTATTTAAAACTTTATTTTTAACTTAATAAGCAAACAAACATGAAAGCAATCCAAATAAAAATGTAAACCAAGGAATAAAATAATATATAAATCCTTAAAGTATTATACTATACATTTTTAATGAAATAGAACCAATAAATCAACATTTTTTGTTATATGTACACCTCTGAGTGTTTGTAGTTCAGTTACCTTTGATTGTGTTCATTTTTGGTGATTAATATTTTTTTCTTATTTACAGGGTCCTAACCTGATTATAAATCAGCCAGATGAGTTGCTGGACAGCATGTCAGAATGGTGTAAGGAACATCATGGGAAGGTAACATTACCAAATAAAAGGATTACTGCCTTTTGGGGAACAATAACAAGCTTAATTGTTCCTTCATCTGAATTCCATACCATTGCTGGATGGTATAAAAAAGGGTTAGAGGAAGATTTCGTGGCAGCCCCGGGAAACTGCTTGCTTGTTTACTTTTCATCTTTGGGAACTCTCGAGAACATCTCCTGAATGTCCTGTTTCTCTCCTACATTCAGTCTGTCATGAACGCATTGTGGATACTCAAGTTTTACTGAAGTCAGTCTTTTGGATAAGGTTAGACTTCATCTTTGAGAGAAGAGGGAATACTGCTTTTCTGTTAATAGTTCTTGCCCTCCCCTGCCCCCCGAGAGGTTAATTCCTTGGATTCTGAGCTCCATCCTTTTTGACTCAATGGAAATACCATTAACAATCTCAGGATTTGGAGTGGATTCTTTAAAAGAAAATTGGTGAAAAGTTTGCAATTTCAATTTGCTCTTGAGCTCTAAATGCATTCCGTCTGTTGGTTATGTTTGCTCATTTTAGAAGTGAAGTTTCATTCCTGGATGCCTTTGAAAACTGACTTCATGTGTTTTTGATGGGGGGCTGGGGATTTTCTCTTGCAGTCTGGTCTTACCAAAGCAGTGAAGGAGAGTACAATTACACTGCAGCAGGCAGAGTATGAATTTCTGTCCTTTGTACGACAGCAGACTCCTCCGGGGCTCTGTCCACTTGCAGGTAAAATCTAATCGTAATATATACTTTGTAGAAAATGGTTCTTCATTATAAAGTGGTTCTTGAGACTGCAGATTCAGAGAGACCAGGCAAAATCATGTCTTCCTAATATCCTAACTTGGATTATAGCCATTTCCTCGTGGACATGGATATTAAAATAGGCCCTGAAATTTATTAGACCTGAGAACATAATTCTAACTCCATAGTATTTTAAAAGACTTGACATTCTCAGAGAGGTTAATGTTATCTGAGACATCTGTGGGAATTTGTCCATGTGTATTGACGTGATAACATTACCCTCAGGCTTTTGTAAGAAAGGTTTGATGTTAGGCCAACTTTGGTGTTTACTTCCTTTCCAGCCAGTGCTATTGATGCTGTTCCGAACATCTTCACTTAAAATCTTATGCTTTCTAATATTAATGTTTTGTTGTATAGTGAACACGAGTATGGATATGATGATTGATAGATTTGTAATATAAATGGGTTTTCTGAGACTTGGGGATAATTCACAAATCTGATGTGGTCTTAAAAGCAATGCAACTGATGTTTCTATTATGTATAGGATATATGTATATGTATAAATTTAATGATTTAGCTCTAGAAATGAGTTTAAAAATTCATTATAAATGAGACGGATAGGTAATGCAGAAATTTGCACTAGGAATCTTAAAATTAGGATCAGTCAGATCTGATTGGGAACTGATGAGCTACTTCACTTTTTTGTTTTTGGTTCATCTTCATTTCAGATATAATTTATAATAAATGTAGTGCTTTACAGGTACAAACTACGTATACATTATCTTGCTTGATTTCTTAATTTTCTTTTACATTATGTTTTATCTTGCTAGAAATACACAGATGCAGTATGCTTTGTGTTTTTCTAGGAAATTCAGTTCATGCAGATAAGAAGTTTCTTGACAAATACATGCCCCAGTTCATGAAACATCTTCATTATAGGATAATTGATGTGAGCACTGTTAAAGAACTGTGCAGGTAAGGGATATATTTGGGATTCATTAAGTAGCCTCATTTAGCATGTTTTAATTGGGGATAAAAGGTTGGGGGATAGGGCTGTAGAGTTAACTGCTTAGTGGAGGGTTGTAATTTTGTTTCTTTCTATGATCTTCCACAAGCTTACTTTATCTTGGGCTGGTGTAAACAGGAAGAAAATAAAGTCAGAGACAATACATGTGTAAATGGGGCAGTTTCAAAAATCATTCAGAACCCAAATTCCTTTGCCTGATAGAGTTCTTAGTATTAATAATTGTTTGGAGGTAATTACTCAGTATGTTTGGGACAGTTGCCTTTGAAAGTTCCATTTCTGCTGTATTCAGACGCTGGTATCCAGAAGAATATGAATTTGTACCAAAGAAGGCTGCTTCTCACAGGTAAGGCTTGACTTTTTGAGTCCTTTCAAACACTAGGCAATCTGACACATTTTTGACTTCCAAGGACCTGAAAATGTAACTCAAGAATTCACTCTGCTACTACTTTTCTTCTGAAATAAAATTTTATTGGCCTAGAGATAATATGATAAAATTAACAAGAGTCCTGGTCAAAAGACTTGTATTTCTTTCAAAATTGAACAAAATTATTAGTTTAGTTGTACTTTGGGATTAGGAAGTTGAAAGATTTTTCATAAAATCCTTATGCAATTTTTAAGCTAGAAACAATTTTGTAATCTTTGTAAAATTAAAATGATGACCTTGATAGGGACTTGAAATCTACTGTCTATAGGACTGTTTACCATCTTGTCCATGGGAGTCGTTTTTTCATTTGTCATAGAGTTTGATTCAAAGCATAATAGTTGCGTAGGATAGTTGTCTTGAATTTTGATATTTGTTACATTGCCTCCTAAGTCAGAGGTGGGGAACCTACAGCCCTCTAGGTCCTCAAGTGCAGCCCTTCAACTGAATCCAAACTTCACAGAGCAAATCCCCTTAATAAAAGGATTTGTTCTGTAAAACTTGGACTCCGTCAAAAGGCTGTGCCCAAGGACCTTCATATTTAAATTAAACTACCAGAATTTAAAAGTGAACTTTATGAAGACCCTTTATATGTAAGGTATTGTTGTATTTAATTCTTTTGTTCACTAGCTTCTGAGGAGAGGTTCATGATTTTGAAATAAATTTAATAGATGACATTTTGCACAAATGCAGTTGGTTTTAATAGGCTTGTGTAGATTTCCAGTATAGTTATAATCTAATTCAGAAACTAAATTCAGTCATTTTTAGCTGTCTATAGCATAGACGGGGAACCCGAATATAAGCAAAATGGCCCCTGAGCCCCTTTCAGTGCTTCCTGCACTAAAGATTTTGTACTCAGAATGAGAAACCTTTAGGTCCTCAGAACTTACTGACCATAACATGAATAATCTTGGTTTTCTGTTTCTCATACGTCAGCAAATTAGAAAAGAAATAAGGAAGGGTGTTAGATACAGAAGGACCAGTAGAACAAGTAACCATAAGGGAAGGCACAGATGCTGTATCATGGGGCAGTAACTAATGTTCATAATGACCCCATGTCATCAAGAAAAGTTCTGTTCAGCATGTTTTATCTAATAAGCTAGGATTGTACATAATTTATCTGGATTACACTTATTTGGGGTATGTGAAGTCTTGATTGTGCCAGATAGACAAATGAAGAATTGACTATAGAACTCTTTGTGATAAAGTACGGTTTATGTACATGCATACTTCAGAATGGAGTTGGGATTTGTTTTATAAGTGGGCATTTACATCGTGCAAAGTATCTCAGATTTTGTTTTGTGCGTTTCATTAAGCCATATGTGCTTGTATTTAGGGCATTGGATGACATCAGCGAAAGCATTAAGGAACTTCAGTTTTATCGGAATAATATCTTCAAGAGAAAAACAGATGAAAAGAAGAGGAAAATTATAGAAAATGGAGAAAATGAGAAGACTGTGAGTTGATGATGTGTCTCATGCTGCCACATTACTCCCTGGATATGACTTCTGGGGGATTTTTGTTCACCCTAATTGTTTGGGAAAGCATCCCCTTTCATTTACCTTGCATCTTCAGATAGTTCAATCAGACTGAGTCTGAAATACAGTTTTTCTAAGTTAGGGCTGTGAATCTGTCATTTAAATCTCAGCAGCTCTTTTGTTTCTAGGTACCAGGTCACTTACTCCTCTTGGTACACATCTGCATCTGCTTTTAGACCAAAACACTTTTCTTTTGTTAAAAAATAAAACTAGTTCAATTAAAAAGCAAGCTTTTTTTGTACCTTCTATTCCTTTACAGTGGTTCAAGTAAGATGCTTTCCCCCCCATTAAATGTTATACTACCTTGTATTTAATGTGTCTTTCAAAAACATTTGCAATGAAACAAGTTAAAAGGGCTGTCACAGACTTGTTCTGTATTGCATTATGGGAGAAAGTTATCAAGATGCAGGTTTTTGTTCAACCCAAAGGACTGCCTTGGGAGAGGGTATAGTACTGGAGGTATTTAAGTAAAAGTTGGATGGCCCTCTGTTAGGGATAGTGTAAAAGGGTTTCTTGTCTGAGTTATTAGGTTGAACTGAATGATACATAAAGTTTCTTCCAACTTAGTTCTGTTTTTCTATGATTCTCTGAAAATAGCACTTTGATCACTTACTGTAATAAGGATAGATATATACAGAAAGAGTACAAGACTGGAAGTCAGGTCAACCAAAGTCTGTTACCAGGTCTGCTCTTAACTGTGATCTTGACTTTAGACATCTCACTTAACCTCCTTATGCCTCAGTTTCTCATGTGACATAAAAATCCCTGCCTTCCAGGAGCGTTGTGAGACGAAAGGTGAGAAAAGTACTTTGCTCTCAGGAAGAAAGGTGTTGCATAAGTAATGTGTTATGCCTACCTATCTCATAGGATGATTGTGAAGACCAAATGAAATGATTATGTCAACTGCTTTGTAAACCTTAAGTTGCCATGTATCTGTCTTATTACTGTTACTACTATTACAAATCTAAGTGTAGTACTACCCTTCCCACATACTCAAATCAATTCATAGATGAATGTATGCCTTTGACTTACTATTTAATTTTTCTTAAAACCTAAACTTACTATGTTTAGATTAAATACCACATTTTGAATGATAATCTTGAGTAGTTTAGCCTGCTAGTCTTAGCTTTATTATGTCGTGGAGTTCACCATGACTCCCTAATGGGGCATATGTTCTTAGAGGAGTCTGAGAAAGCAAGATTTGTACTATGGTAGGGTAGGGTGAAGTCAGCATGATGGTTCAGTGATTAATTCGTATTTTATCAGGCTGCTTAAATAGAAAGCATTCTGTTTTGGAGTGTTACCATTAGTGATTTCACAGGAGACTCCCCTGAAACTATGGAGTGGCTCCTCTGAAATGAACTACAATGCAAATCTGTTTGATTATGCCCATGTCCTTAAACAGTATCACTGTGTCTGCACAGAGGGTACTTGCCATTTGGTCCTTTACTTGCTTGCACTAAATTACCCCACATGTTGCAAACTTAACGCTATCCAAGTACATTTTCCTGCATTAATTCAGGAAGGGAACAGGATGGTGCTTTGGGAATCAGCAGTCATTACTGTTTTCATGCCTGTGAGAAACACCTTTCCTATAGCAACTGATATTATCAGTAAAAATGATTGAGTAGAAATAGCTTCTTTTACCTTGTGCTAGTGTGATAGCAAGCTAGTTACTGTTTCTGTTATATGAGGACTGCTGTTGTTTACATAGTCTTTGGAAAAACAAATGAAGACCAATAATGATGTTAAACTAGTACTTTTGTAATTAAGTGAAATTCAGTCAAAGCCATATTTTGCTTGCTTAATGACAGGATGAATGTTCCAGGTATCTGCAAATGTGTTTCTATTGTTTGGAAACTTTAATAAACAGAAGGTGCCAAACAAGTTAAACAATAGATTAGTTTACTGTGGTACCCTGCTTTGGACAATGGTTGAAAGGGACAAAATCTGTTACAAGTTAATATTAATAAATATAATGAAAAATACATTAAATTGATCACATGATCAGACCTCTTAATACCATTTGTGGTACATTAAGGGGCCATATCGAGGGCAAAATTACAAGAATGTTGAAAGGTCCATAGGAACATAGGAAAAACTAGAAGCAATCTCAGGGATCAGCTAGTAAAACCCCCTCATCTTACAGATGAATAAACAGGTTTAAAAACACAGTATGAAGTGGAAGGTGTTAGATTTGGAGTCAGGACCTGGTTTGATTCCTGGTTTTGCCACTTAGTGCCTGTGTGACCAGTGTACTTCCCACAGTTTGCTCATTTGTAAAACGAGGGTCTTCAATTAATGATCCCTGAGGTCTCTTCCAAGCTCTTAGTCTGTGACCCTATAGGATACCAAGCTGAAGCCATTTGCTCCTTTCTGTTTCAGAAGACCTTTTAAAGAAATTAGAAAAGGTAAGGAGTTGTAGTCACAATTCTACTGGAATCCTGAAATATTGTGGAAGACATAATTGACAGCTGTCAAGATCAGGTTGAGTGGATAAACTTTGGTTTTTAACTTGACCAGCAGGATAATTTAGGCAGCTTAGTTTATGGCTAAGAGTCAATTTTGTTCATTTTATGCTACTTGGAGGAAATGTATTTTCTGAGTAGGCAGGTGTCCCAGAAAACTGGTCAGGGAATGTGGAATGTTAAAGAAGTAGAGGGTACAAACAACAGTAACAACAACAAAAAACAAAAAACCTTGCGTGTTAGCTGGAATCCCAGGGGAGCCAGAATAAGAATTACTATCCTCCATGATAGTAGTCTTGAGCTCAAATAAAAATAGATACCTTCAGGTTGCATGTTGACTTAAAAAAACTTATATTAATATTATTTATGTTTCTTTGTATTTTTATTTATTTTGTTAGATGTTTCCTAATTAGATTTTAATTTGGTTTGGGCTTCACTCTGGAGTGTTGTGGACTGCAATGGCTGCAAGCAACCTATGGGCCAGGTGTTTGACACCTCTCCTCTTTAGCATTTATAGGGAGTCCTGAACAAAGACTTCAGATTGGGGGAATTAAGTCTTTAGTCTCCCCTCCCCCCCTTACTTTTGGCTGGGGCTACTGTCCTTTGATTCTCAATTTAAAATACTTGGGGAATTATGGACCAAGAATGATGCCTTTGCTTATGGAGGGTGTTTTGGGGAGAAACCTTTTTATTTTATACAGATGTAGAGAGTTAAATTATTGGTTCCTAGTGGTACCCATCTCTTAAACTACATTGAGCCCCTTCTGAGCTAGAGAGATAGGTTTCTGGAGTCTGTAATTTGAACTCCAAACACCTTTTCTTAAATAAACAAATTCCTTGGTAATTAGGTACTAATCTCAGTAGTATCCTTCAGGTGCTTTATGGGTTAAATAAGCTTTTGTGAGCTGAACTGGGAAAATAACCGCCATTTTTATTATTTCTGTGAGAAAATGCATCCTAAAATATGCGGAACAATATCTGTTAGTAAATTAGTGACTGTCTTTCTCACCTGCTTTAAGCATTTTGTTGTCTGTTCAGTTTCACCTCTCTTTCATCTAGTCAAGTCAACAAACATACCTTATTACTTGCTTATTATATTCCTGGCTTTAAGTCCCTCTTTTGTGAAAGCTACCAATAAAATAACTCATTCATTTTTGTTCATTTTTAGCAAATACTGAAATTATTCCAAAAGAATTGAAAACTAGAGCAATTGTTGAGGGCATTGTTAAGGTGATCTTTTGAGTTTAGTTATAGCTGCCATTTTGTAAAAATGCTGACCACAAATTTTTTTCTCATATACTTCTTAAGGATTCTTGGTCTTAGAGGAAAATATTCAGTGTGAACATTGCAGAGCATCAAACTCTACAAAATAATGAATTTATTGTTTGGAATTCTGTGTCTATAATGATTTTTCATACAATGAATGATTAAATAGAATAGTACTTCATGGCAACCACTATAATCCTTTGTCATAGTGTAGCTGATGGCAGCTCTCACAAAATTAAACAAAAAACATGAACTTCATTGGCCATAGAAATTGGTCCTCAATCAAGGCATTTTATTTATATAATATCTACAGAGCCTCTTGTGCTTTTCTTCCATATTTGTCTAAGAGCCTAGGAGTTTCTTGAACTCAGTGTTGAAAAGGCCTTGCCTATGTTAATTTGAATGTTATGATTACTTTAGAGTTCACAAAGTTGTTGAATGTCTATATTGATTCAGACATTCTTAGGTTAGAAGAGGAAGGAGGTGAGATTTTGAAGTTCATTTTGGAATAAAATTTTAGAAGTTGTCTAGAAGTTTAAAAACTTTTATTTTAATGAATTTCTGAACCCAGAGTCACAGTGCCTCAGAATTGAAAGGGACCTCAGAAGATAGTCCATCCTACCCCAGACAAGTGGTCAGTTGCTATTCATGTGAAACATTCTAGGGTTAAGGAATCCTTTTTCTCCTGAGGTAGCCCACTTGCCTTTTAGATAGCTCTAAACATTAGGAAATTTTTCCTTACATTGAGCCAAAATATTCCTTTCTACAAATTTCATCCCTGATTCTGTCACCACATTGCTTTTATTTCTAGCCTCTGAAACCAAGAAGTCTAATCTGTCTTCCATGTGAGACAGCCTTTCATGTTAATGAAGATACAGTGGCTGTCATATCCTGCCTTTTCCCTTCTTTAGGGTTATCTTGCCAATGTTTTTAAAGTGAGTGAACCTGAAAGGGGACACAATCCTCTAGTTAGGGTCTGACCATGAGAGTGATTGACCTCTATAGAACACTTTAAAACTGGCAAGTTGCTACATATAGATTATCCCATTTGACCGACACAACAATACTGTGAGGTTGGTACTACAGATATTATATTCATTTTATAGATGAGGTAACTGAAGCTCAGAGAGTGACTTGGCAAGATAGTGTTGGAGACAGTTCAAATTCAGGCCTTCTGACTCCAGCCATCCTTCTATTCACTTTACCATGTTGCCTCTCATTGTGGACAAGGACAGACCACAATAGAACTCTACCTGAAAAAGCTGAAATAGGAGACAGTGGTAAAAACACTGGATTTGTAGTCAAAAGACCTGGATCCAGATATTAGTTATCACTCCTTTTATGACTGGGCAAGCCACTTAAACCCCTTTAGGTCCCAGTTTCCTCATTTATAAAATAAAGGGTTTGCTTCCAGCTCTGAATCAGATACTTTTACTTCCCTTGTTCTAAAGTAGCTTAAGAAAATCACATTAGCCTTTTGGGGTACACTACTGTCAACTCATTGAACTTGCAGTCTTCTAAAGCCACCAAACATTTTAATGTGAATTGTTGTCTTTCTGTTTCTTGTCTAATCAGTTTTTTATTAAATTTCATCTTATTTGATTTGATCAATCATTTTAGCCAGTTGAGATGTTTTTGGATCCTGATTGTCCTCCAGTATTTATCTCTTCCAACTTTATGTAAGCTACACATGTGGTAAGCTTGATGAATGGGGTTTTAAGGTATAGAGTACAGGAAAAAAAGTTTCTCATAAAGCCTAGATTCTCTGTATTCTCAGTAAAGAAGAGTCAAAATCATAGCAACTGAGGGGAAGCTGAGGCTAGCGTAGGAGGCTTGAGGAGAAGAGGTTTGGAATAGTCACTTGGGAAAATTCAGTCAGAAGAATAAAAATGATGCCATAAAACATTGAAGATCCGGTTCTGATTAGATAACGTGAATGTGGAGTTGGTACAGTTCAGTCATGTGACTCAGGCAGAAGGTAAGAGTAAACCAGGGTTAGAGTTTGGCAAGGCATGAGCAAGGTAAGGACAAGGAAGCCAAAGATTCACGAGTAGAGAACAGTATATAGCTGAACTTGTCAACTGGGGTCAAGACAGGGAAGAACGTTCAGATAGGGAACTGGGAAGGCAGAGAGGTAGAGTAACAAGGTTATGGTGGAAATAGGTTTAGGAAGAGTGAGGCCGAGGCAAGTGATGATGGTAGGAGGCCATGATGAGCAGTTTGAGATTTGTGGTTAAATAGGTAGTATATTCATGGGTGACAGTGAGATCAGGGGTATGACCATCTGTGTGACCGAGTTGAAATGGGAGTCTTGGGAGTTGAGGTAGGGGAACTGGGAGATCAGTGTGTTTGAGAATATATATGGATGCCAGTATGTTTCAGGATCTCTGTCTTTTTTTTTCCCTACCCTATCGTCACCAGGCCCTTCCCCAATCCCCTTGAGAAGGAGAAGGAATTATCTATTGGATTTGGGGGGCCAATACATAACTGCTCTAAGGATCTGGATAGGGTATTATACATAGAAGGAGAGAGCCTTTAAGAAATTCGGTGATGACGGCAGAGGAAGGGTCTGGAAGTGGCAGTGAGGAATATGGAGTATGTCTATGTCTCAGCTCAGTGTATTTGTGTTGGAGGGGGGGAGGAAGGAAGTGTGAGGAAAAGGTATTTATAATATCGGAGAAGTTGGGTAGGGATATAATACCTACTGACAGGAGCCAGACTTCCAAGAGAAAAAAGAAAATTAAAGGAGTGTAAGAGGAAGAGGTCTGAGACAAAGGAAACTTTATTAACAATAGAATGACAGTTCCAAAACATAATGGAATGGGAGGGCTGAGAAGGGTAGGGATATGGAAGAAGTAGGACTGAGGTATATAGGAATGAGAAGGCAATGAATGGTGGCAGGGGCAGGGGATTTTGACAGCTGATGGAAGCTCTGAATCACAGGGATTCTGAAGAGGTGGGAGTTTGCTGGCTATAGAGTAGGGTCATAACATTTGATTGGACCCTCATCTTCAAAAGTATTTGATGAAAAATGGTTTCAGTTTCTCTGTAGACTATAGCCATAGTCTAAATGTAAAAATGAAGTTTAATAGGGATAATTGTAAAATTTTATACTCAGGTTTTAAAAAACTACATCACTACAAGATGAAGGAAGTGTGG